GAGACACATCACAACTTTCTTTTGTCAAGGGAAGTTGTCAGAAGTCTTAGCACCACAAGGCCAATGCTTTTCACAGCAAAATGACACTACACTGTGTTTACCCAAATGTCAAAATGCATCTTTCTCTCATCCCTATTTCTCCTGACTTGTGCAGCATAGCTTAGTGTGGGAAGAGGCCAGATACACCGACAATAAAAATTTCATAATCCTGCAAGAAGCAAGGACTGCTGTGACTAACGTTCCATTGGTCAGTCAATGCACTCCCTTCTGCTTCCAGGATGTAACCTCCTCTCCAGTTTAACACCATGCCCTTTTTATCTGGCTTCAGTTTGTAATGGGACAGTGTAACATACAGCTGGAGACACCCAGAGCTCTAAACCACCAACCTCTTCTCTCAGTATGAGTAAGTTTTTTTTGTAGATGAGACTGTGGTTTAGTTTCCTCATACATAAATCTGTATTCCTTAGCAGCAAACATCTCAAGTCTCTCCTAACCGAAACCTTTCCTGTCAGCTAACAATCGGTGAACTACAACTCTTGAGCTCATCAGAGACATTTCTCTGCAATGTATAACCTCTATCAATGGGCATTCACAGAAGGCATTCATTTTGCTCCTCTCTTATAGAATCAGTACAAACTGGTTGAGAATTTGAAAGTGGAAGGCAGCTTGAGTGAAAGTGATAATGAAATCATGAGTTCATGATTCTAAGGAATGGTAGAAGGGAGAACAGCAAAATAGAGAAAATGGATTTCAGGAAGGCAGATTTTGGTAAATTCAGAGAGCTGGTAGGTAAGATCTCATGGGAAGCAAGACTACAAGGAAAAACAACTGAAGAGAGTTGGCATTTTTTCAAAGGGACATTATTAAGGGCCCAAAAGCAAGTTATTCCGCTGCGTAGCAAAAATAGAAAGTATGGCAAAAGACTACCTTAGCTTAACCAGGAGATCTTGCATGATCTCAAAATCAAAAGGGAGTCATATAAAAAGTGGAAAATAGGACAAATTACAAAGGATGACTCTAAGCAAACAATACAGGTATGCAGGAGCAAGATTAGAAAGGCAAAGGCCCAAAATGAGCTCAAACTAGCTAGAGACAAAAAGGGCAACAAGACATTCTATAAATATATTAGAAGGAAGAGGAAGACCAAGGACAGGGTAGGCTCACTGCTCAGTGAGGAGGGAGAAACAATAACAGGAAACTTGGAAATAGCAGAGGTGTGTAATGACTTCTTTTTTTCAGTCTTCACCAAGAAGTCGGATAAAGGAATGCCTAACATAGTGAATGTTAGTGGGAAGGTCGTAGGTCTAGAAATGTGGTCACTAACCCGTCGATCGCGAGGCATTTGGGCACCTGTTGCGTACTGGGGGACGGGCCGTCGGCCCTGAAGAAGGAGTGTGGCGGTTTCCCTGTGCTGCTGGTGCTGGAGGGGTGAGTTGAGTGCAAGGGTTTCCCTGCACCACAGGAGCGAGGGTCGGCCCCGGGCTTTGGCCCAGGGCAGGCACCCAGAGGACTTTGGCCGCACTGCGGGGGTGAGGGGGCGGGAGTTGGCTGGGCTGGGCTGGGCTGCGCCGCGCCGCGGGAGGGGGGTTTGGCCCCGGGGCACGCGCCTGTGGGGGTTGGCCGCGCTGTGGGAGG